GCCTTGCTAACCTCAAGTAAGGGCACGTGAAGCTTTAGGAGTGTGACATGGGTTGTCCTGCCATTAAGAAAGTTAATTCTGTACAAAACTGTGCTCAGGAGTACTGCTGAACCTGCTGGAGTCAACACCTGCAGCTGCTCAGGAGCAGGCAATACTTAATAATTCCTCCATTAATCACTTTACACGCCTCATACAAATGAGAATTTTCTTTGCTTTGGCTGCTCTGCCTCATACAAATGAGAATTTTCTTTGCTTTGGCTGCTCTCTCTCTTTCTCTGTGTGTAAGGAAATGATTTAATGCGTGAGGAATTTCAGCAGAGTGGGTTAAGGCAGGACTTCAGAACAAGCTGCGGTCCTTTTTACCAGCCGGAGTTGCAGCCGTAGAAGAGTGGTGATAAATTTTTTGTACCCAGGTGTTTGGGTAGCTTAATACAAAGGAGGCAGGAGTGCATTTTGTAACCTTGATGTCCCTTGTGGTTGCAGGTCACTCTAACATTAAAGCTTTCCTCAGCCACGGAGGCTTGAACAGCATTTTCGAAACCATGTACCACGGGGTCCCAGTGGTGGGCATTCCCCTCTTTGGAGACCACTACGATACCATGACCCGTGTGCAGGCCAAAGGCATGGGAATACTGCTCAACTGGAAGACCATGACTGAGAGCGAGCTGTACGAAGCCCTAGTCAAAGTTATTAATGACCCCAGGTATGGAATGAGCAAGTGTTTGTGCATGAGTGTGGATATGAAGCCCTAGTGCAGTGGGGAAAAGAAACCTGTGTTTTGTTATTTGTGCCTACACTTGAGGCAGGTCGGGGTGTTTGTCCCGTTTCTCAGGATTACCCAACAGCTGAGGTTTCTGTGTGGGTGCTGGGCTCGTTGTTCAGCACCAAAACTCAATTGTCTCACTTGCCCTAGGTAGCAGTTGCCATGTAGAGGGCACAGAGGTTAGGGAAACAAACCTGTCCCGACTTATTCTGTGTTGCACACCGAGGTTCCCTTGGTGTCTGTCTTGATTACTCCACGTGAGCAGTGTGGCTGTGGTGCTGCCTGCGGGGCCTGGAGCAGGATACACGTACATGGTTTGGGTTGTAGCTAAAATGGGGTGGCCTTCAGAAAGAAGGACTTGAAGTTCTGTGAATTTATAAGAAGAAATGAAATTATTTGAGGTGTTTTTTTCCTTTTCTGGCTTATAATACCTCTCATATCCAGATGAAAAATAGCAAGAAGTTAGCTGGCAGGATATTGAAGTGGGCTATCCCTAATTTTGGAGCTGTTGATGCTTCTTGCTTTCACGAGAGCTGAGTCTTTCTGGGAAAAGAGATTGCTCTCAGGAGCAAGCAGCAGGGCAGCGGCAGAGAGTGGGGGAATGCTGATAGCAGCCTCGATAACATGAGTTTCATCACCTTCCCCTTGTGCAATTATCCTCGGTGTAAAGGCAAGAGCTGTGTAAATAACCTGTCGACCCCGCAGACAGGAGAGGAAGAATTTGAAGGGGGGTCAGCTGCTGGGTTGAACAACCAAAAGCTTTGGGCAAAACCCTGGAGCCGGGTGGAAATGGTTTATTGCAAAATCAACCCCGGGCTTCTCGCTGCTCCGCGTTTCTCTGGTGTGAGTTGCACAACGGCGTGGGATGACAGCTTTTTCCTCTCTTCCTTGTTTGCTTTCCTCCCCCCCAGCTACCGGCAGCGGGCGCAGAGGCTGTCTGAGATCCACAAGGACCAGCCTGGACACCCCGTGAACCGGACTGTGTACTGGATCAATTACATCCTGCGCCACAACGGAGCCCAGCACCTCCGTGCCGCCGTTTACAGCATCTCCCTCTTTCAGTATTTCTTACTGGATATTGCCTTGGTCCTGCTAGTGGGTGCTGCCTTACTTTACTATGTTGTGGCCAGGATGACCAAATTAATCTGCAAGCAGAGCAAACATCTCTGGTGCAATGACAAACATAGCGCTGTTAATGGACACTACCAGAACGGGATCCCCAATGGCAAGTATAGAAGAAACGGCCACATTAAGCATGAAAAAAAGGTGAAATGAGCCAACAGCCCCGTGTAAAGTAGCAATGAATCAGATCAGTAATCGAATTTTATCGCTGTAACTTTAGTCTAACAACTACTTAAAACCTCAGTAAGCAGTTCTAACACTCCCCTTCAGTATGTAATATTATGTGACAAAATTCTACGGAACTAAGAGAAGTCTTGAGGAAAAAAAAAGAAAAAAAAAAAAGGCAAGCACAACCTAAAATGGAAAATATTTTATTCTTAATACTGATGCAGAGAGGTTATTTTGGCACTGAAGTTTTTAGAAGCCTTAATTCTCTAAAGTTCTATACAATGACCGTATTTATGAATTTTCAGCTTTTAAAAGCTCAGTGTGTGTGTCCCAAATGAGGAGAGGTTTCTTTTTATTTGCAGAGGTGTTCTCCTTTTATTTTTTTATCGTTTTAATATCTCCATCCTTTTAGCTGAGGCAACTCTCTAGTGCTAGTTCTGTGTTTCCTTTGTGGAAGGTTTCAACCCGTTGTGCACAAGAATTGCTGTTTAAAACACAAAGGATTTCCCCCAGTCTTTAGGCGAGAAATAGCAAGTGGTGGACTGAGAACACAGAGGTTAAAAAAAAAAATTTTAAGAAAAGGAAATCATCTCAATGAGCACTGAAGAAAAATGGCAAAAATATGTATTTGTTTTACTGATAAAGCTGCATGACTCTTCTGCTCGCTACCAGTACTTTGGAGAAAAGGGTTCTGAGCAAGTCCACAGTGTGTCCTAACTTTAACCGAGACAAACTTTGATTTGTCGCCTTTCTCTGCATACAGAATTTATGCCACGAAATTACTAGGGAGTCTTATTTCAGTTCCAAATACGGCTGTGTGGGAAGTAGGTTTGCATAATTAAGCAAAATAAGTGAAACAACAAAACGAAAGAGCAACAAAAAAGGAAAAGGAAAGAAAAAAAAAAAAAAAAGGGACTTGTAAAAACCTAGCCCTGAGCTTAGTGCAGAAGGTTTTGTAATTGGCCCAGAGCTGTGCAGACTGGAACCGCTCCTGGGGGTTTGTTCCGAGGGAACAACCCCCACACAGCGCTCCCCCCGCGCTCCCCCCCCAGAGTTGAATGTCTTTCCTGTTAATTCTCATTAAGTTCTTTCTGAATCGCAATGTTGTAGATGTTCTCTTTCAATGGTTGTATCTGGAAAAACAGAAATATTACCTTCTATTAGTCTGGGCCACGCAATCCATGTTCCGCCTAGTTGCCAATAGGAATTCCGCGCCGCGGGCGGTGTCCAGCCGTCCTGCCCGGGGCTGGTGGGGGATGTGTGTGGGGTGAGGCCTGGCCACCTGGTGAGTGCAGAGGTGGCCCCCTGTCCCCTCCCCCCTGCCCTCCAACCATCTCCTTCAATCATTGTCGCCGACACGGGACGCCGGCGGTGGTGCGCGCTCCCGGGGCGGGAATGCCGGCCGTGGAATCGTTGCTTGCCCTGCTGAACCAAAGTTGGCAACTCTGAGTTTTATTTCCATGTCATTCTGTTTACTTGGAATTTGCACTACACACGTTGTGAGTGTACGCTTTATTTATTTGTAGTTGGAGGTGCCGTGGCTGAAAGAGAAAGGAGGGAAGCCCGTTTTTTGCCTTGTGTCGCTCACTAACATGGGAGGAGTTGGGATGATGACGGGATGCTGAGCTCATCTTCATACACAGTGATGCAATATTTCATCACCATTCCATCAGGAGCCTCGGTCCTACAGCAATAAATAACAGTGCAGATACGTTTCTAATACGCAGGGCGGCTACTCGTGCTGCTCTCTGAATACTTGAAGATAAAAAAAAAAAGAAAATGGTATTATAAATATAAGCCTCTTTAGCTATACCTTTTTACAATCTCGCAGCCCGTGGCAACTACAGGAGCACACAGAGGCGATGAATGGTGGGATGGTGAGAAGACTTCGAGTGTATGAATGACTTGGTTTAGAATGTGGGGGTTTTTTTGGCATTAAAGAAGGTACAAAAGCACTGACCGGATGATTAAGCATAATTTAATCTCCACTGTGATAAAACTTAAGCAATAAACATGGATTTAATAGAGAAATTCTGTTGTTGCAAGTATATTTTTGTTCAAACTGAATGCTGGTTGTCTCAAAGTACCCACTGTGTGTGTGTACAGAAATGTGGGTGCTTGTTGGGGTACACACAACTTCTCAGTGTTTCATGTGGTTCATGATACGCATTTGAAATCAAAAATAATGCTGTTTTTTGTGAGTGTAGCTCCATTTCTTGTAGGAGCTTTGAATACAAAGAGAAAATGGTTAATTTTGTTTCTTCAAAGCGAGAAGTCACAATTTTTGGTGTTGGCGGGCGTAGGTGGCACAGTGGTTTCGGTTTGGTTGTTTTCCTGTACGTGGTGAGCTCATCCCTTCAGGAGCAGGGCTTGGAAGGCTTTTCACAGCCATGTTAGGTGAGATGATGGATGTCTTCTTGGGTAGTCTCTGTGTAGGTACAAACTGCTGCAATTCTTTTGCAAGAAGAGGCAGTTGCTGCCTTAATTGTATTGCCAAATTCCCCATGACTCTGATCCACCTCATCTCTAGAAATACCTGTTGAGTTTCAACTTCCTTCTGAGTTCAAGCACGAGCTGTTACTGTGGTTATTTCTATCTCCCTTTCACCACACAGCAAGCAAATTGTTCCTGTGTTTCAGACACAGGATCGAGCAGTGATGGCTGTTGGTGCCCAGCCAGTGTTGAAACCAGGCAGATGGCTGAAGGAATGTTAAAAAAGGGGTTTAGAAATCCATGTGTAGCTCCAGACTGCATCACGCTATCAGGACCGAGGCTTTAGTCACCCCTCTGATCAATGTTAGTTATTGAACAGGGAAGATGATTAAAAGAAACTGAATTAATCTCCCAAGACAGCGCTCTGCCACCACTTGGGAAATGCCACAGTTGGGCCTTGCTTATCCTAGTGAAAATCACGCCATTGGAAAGTTAGAAACCTGATTTATTTGTGGATTTGGGTGTGTTTTTTCCAACAGAAGCCAGCAAATGCAGGATCTCGTTTCGCTGTAAAATGATGGAACTTGTGATGTTGGGCATTCCTGGCTACTCTGTAACAAAACAGAAGTTGGGTAGAGAAGATTGTGTTCCTCATACACTGAGGGGATGGATGGAAGGTTGAAGAGTGTTTAGGGAAATCTTGGCAACTCCTATTCTGGAATTTACTATTTGAGCAGGGGATAGAATCATCCAATTGTTTAGGTACGTGAGGCTTTCATTCCTCAGGTGTTAAGCAGTGGTGAAGGAAATGAACAGATCAGCAATGCTGAACCTTCCTTGGGTTGCTACTCAGCCAATTCAGGAATTGCTCCTTAAAAGAACAGTGTGGGCTGGGATTAAGGATTCCAGCCTGTCAGGTGGGTTTTTGAGGCACAAACAGCAGCATTCCCTGGTTTAGGAGTGCTGGTCTGTGGAAAAGAGAAGCACTGACTTAGCGGAATCGCGCTGCATGGTACTTGTTAGGTGTAATTATATATCAATATAATTATGTTTTCATGAAATCATGATATCTCTGTGAGTAACAGCTGGTGGGGGGAATAGTTGCTAAGACCAGAAACAACACAGGCTTGGCCTTGTGCAGGTGAGTACAGAGATTTTTGGCAGCCAAATACTCTTAATGCAGTCAACACCTACAGACACTTTTGTTCCAGACTAAGAGACTGAAATAATTTCAATTTGTGCATTTCTGTACTGGTGGTAATGGAGACAATGTTACTTTGCTGTGCATCTCGTGGTCTTGTTTCCTTTGTCATTTTGTTGTGCAGTGATCAAATTTTACCAGAGCTTTATTTTTAGAAATATTGTATTACATACGTGGTAACAGTCAGAGTTGCAATTTAGTATCTACGAGTTTTATTTGTTGGGGGAAAAAAGGTCTTGCCAGATCTCACTTTTAAGGAACATAGCTGTATACATAAATAAAGACAGTGGTCTCTTTTATAGGGAATCTTGCATTTTGGACAGTAGAGTTCAGTAAGGAATTAACACATTTGCCTGCAGCTGCAAGAGGGTTGTGCCCTGCTTTTTTTATGCTTTTATGGATGTTATTCTAAAAGTTTCTGTGTCCCCCCTTTTTGGTACATCAGCCTTTCTCAGCAGCATTTTTACTCTGTGTAGGTTTCTGAGCTTGCCAGGTGTGGATTTTCCATTTCCCCAAAGCCCCCTTGGCCTTTCCCTGCTCTCCTGGTTCTGCTTTCCAGGATAACTCACCTGGGGACAGGGTAACTCTGCCAGAAGCTGTTCCAATAGCTGCCTCCCGGTTCTGCTGGTATGGAAAGCTCCTGTCTATCCTGTATGTCCTGCCTGGGCTCTGTTGGCTCCTGGGTGGAGGCAGCCTCGCCCCAGGGAGCATTTCCAAGCCGAGATTTAAGTTTGGACGTGGTATTTCGCTGCAGATAAGACCTTTCAACACTTCAAGCCTCACCCGTGAGCTTCTTGATGAAAGAAATGTTTATTTAGCTTTTGCTTTTTTGTTGCTTTTGGCTCTGCAGCCTCTGGTCTGGGAAGAGGTGCAGGGTTGGGAGTTTTGGTGGCGCTGAGGAAAGCGTGACAAGGAGACGCATGAATTAAAATCTGTATGGCTTTTACTGGAAAAAAATGCTGGAGTTGGGTTTTCTAGATGAAAGGACAAGAACTTTTGGAGCATTTGATGGTTGGGTACAGCAAGGGGGAATGGTGTTTTCCCTGGATCCTGTGTTATTGCTGGTGTTATTCAGGTACAAGAGCTTCATCCATTCTTTTTTGAGGATTTTTTCCCACTGGCCACCCCTCCTGCCGTGGACTGCAAGTGACCCCTCGTTTTTGCAGACACATCTCGTTTTTGTGGAGCTGCACCACGAGCAAACCAGGTGAGACAGATACAGGTTCAAAATAACCCCATGGGAATAAACCTGAGGTCATTCCCTGTTTGTTTGTCTCTTTCAGAGCAACCTCACAACAGCAGATGGAGCAGACAAGAAACCGGGGGCTGAGGAATGAGGAAAGACATGTGGTGAGGACTGTGGGACTCCATGCTTCTCCCAAAAAGGCAAACAGATCCACACCTGTGTGTGACATTTGGTATTCCTGAAAGATTCATCAGTTTCTTTAATTTTATTTTGCTTTGTGTTGTTGTTTTAAGTGTGCATTTAGTGGCTGTAAAGAGAAGAGCATCTCAAGGTAACAAGCGGACACATTGCAGTCATACCTGTGGGAGCCTGATGTGATTGCTTGAGGGATATAAAAAAAGCTTTTATTTAAGAGGGTTAAAGTAATATGATAGGTAGAACAATTTTTGGAAGTAACAAAAAGTCATCACTGATCAAATAATGGAAGAGCAGCTTTAGGGCAGGTGATCATTCCCAGACCCATGACCAACTTTTTTGCTACGAACTTCTTGTGTAGTTTCTTCACCTTCAGGAAATATCCCACAGACCCAAACCATTTCAGCAGATGTGTTGCTATGGGTGGTTTCTGGGCAGTCCTGCTTTCCTGGGTGTGGGAGGAAAGGCTGGCCAAGCTGGATGCTCTTACTTGTGTGGTAGAAGTCAGCACATGTCCACCTGGGTGGCTTCCCTGCTGAGGGCACACCTCAGTGTGCTGGCAGAGAGAAAACACAGAGGGAATTCTTGAGGGGTGAGGGAGGAAGGGCAAGTGTGTGACCACCTCCTTTGTCTGTCCATCCTATGGCATGAGGAATTTGTTTGTGGAATCTCTCAGGAGCTCGCGTCGGGGCTGTCCCCCCGTGGTGCTGGGGGTCTGCTCTGCCTCAAGCTCCCGCTGTGTCCTTGCACCATTTTCAGGTCATTGCCCTGGCCAAAAGGTGACCCCTGTGGCCTTCCTCTGGCCAGGCTGTGTAAGGGGTGTCTTCAGTGCTCTGAGTTTTCCCCTGTGTGCTCCAGGACAGGAAGGACTTTTCCCACCAGCTGCTGGTTGATCTTGGATGCTGTTCTGAGTAGGGGCTCCTCACCTCCTGCTCTCTCCCGCGTGCTCCTGGCTCCAGGAGCATGGCTCCAGGTGCCCTGGGCCATGCAGGAGCTCTCAAGGTGGAGATGCTGGGATGAGAGATGCCTTTTCTCACCATGCCTGGGAACATGGTTTGTATCCCAGTTATGTGGAGCGGGGAATAAAGGAGCTGTGTGGGTGGCAAGCACTTCAGTGTTCAGGCTGGGGGGATTCAAGCAATGTATAATTCTGGTCACTCTAAAGGCTGCTTTCTCGAGCTTTTAGGCTACAAACTCAGTTTGAACTATATTTGAGGCTGAATTAGCTGAACCACCATGATGTGTGTAAAACAGAGGCTGGGTTGTAGCCACCCCTCAGTGTCCATGGGCAGTGTGGGTGGTGCCAAGGGAGAGTTCCTTCAGCCCTCCCCAATCTGCACGGTTCAGAGACTTCCCGATAGAGAGCAATTTGTTCTCAGGGCTGGAGCTGTGTGAGAACACTGAGCAGTCCCTGCCCAGTGCAGGGCCATGGAAAGGTATGTCAGGTGTGGTGGCAGAGATTATTATCCATGGAAGGGACCGGTCATGCGAACCAGAGCAGCTCTTGTTGACGTTTCTGGGGAGGTTCAGTTGAGCTGGACACCACGATTCCTATAACTGCTGAAGCATTGCTGCCCCCTTCCCTCTCCTCACTGCCTTTAGTTGTGGGTTTTCCTCCTAATGCTTTGCCTCACTGCCTGAGAAATATGAAAACACAACCAGTCTCCCAGAAAAATCCCTGCTTGGCTGGAGTTGCCCTCCCCAGAGGATTATGTCCAGATGGTTTGGAGTATCCCCAGGGAAGGACTCTCTGGACAGGCTGCTCCAGCACCCCATTGTTGGAGTGCTATCCCTGAACCACTGAGTTTGCTGGCCCCGAAGGTATCGGTTTCAGGGAAGGAGAGGCCAATTCCCAGCTCGTTCAGTCCTGTGGACAGACAAAGGCTGGGAGGAGCTGTGGTTGCACAGCAACAGAGCAGGGTGGGGAAAGGGCCTGGGGAGGGATTTTAGCCAAAGAGTTTTTCTGTGAGATAAAAACAGAAAGGTAAATTTGGCCAGGGGAATATGGAGGTGTCC